AAAAATTTACTAAGTCTTTTTGCCTCGCTCTTAGAGCAAGACACTTTAGGCTTTTTTCTCATTTTTTTCGGGGAAACAGAACCCCCGAATTTGCTTTTCACTCCGCATACGGCCGGTCAGATCGATCACCCGAGCACGAAGTCTCAGCCGGTCTTAACCGGACATAAAAAGCAATTTTTTCAGCTGTGTAATCGAAAAAGACGTTAAAATTAATATTATGCTGTTTCGAACATTATGTTCTATTGAATTTCAAGGCCCCTTGTAGCAAAAATTAGAATTTGGCACGGTCTGAAAATTGTATTATTGGAATCTACGGTCAATAGGCTTTCTGTCGATGCCACATTTGTCCATAAATAGACAGTTCGTGGATAGAAAAAACACGTTTTTCCAGCTTCATTGTAATCGAAAAAGACGTGAAAATTAATATTATGCTGTTTCGAACCTTATGTTCTATTGAATTTCAAGGCCCCTGTAGCAGAAACTAGAATTTGGGCTAGTCTTAAAATTGTAGTTTTGGAATCTACGGTCCATAGGCTTTTTGCCAATGCCTTATTCGTGCATCACTAGACTTGTCCGTGGACATAAAAAGCAATTTTTTCAGCTGTGTAATCGAAAAAGACGTTAAAATTAATATTATGCTCTTTCGAACCTTATGTTCTATTGAATTTCAAGGCCCCTTGTAGCAAAAATTAGAATTTGGCACGGTCTGAAAATTGTATTATTGGAATCTACGGTCAATAGGCTTTCTGACGATGCCACATTCGTCCATAAATAGACAGTTCGTGGATAGAAAAAACACGTTTTTCCAGCTTCATTGTAATCGAAAAAGACGTGAAAATTAATATTATGCTGTTTCGAACCTTATGTTCTATTGAATTTCAAGGCCCCTGTAGCAGAAACTAGAATTTGGGCTAGTCTTAAAATTGTAGTTTTGGAATCTGCGGTCCATAGGCTTTTTGCCAATGCCTTATTCGTGCATCACTAGACTTGTCCGTGGACATAAAAAGCAATTTTTTCAGCTGTGTAATCGAAAAAGACGTTAAAATTAATATTATGCTGTTTCGAACCTTATGTTCTATTGAATTTCAAGGCCCCTTGTAGCAAAAATTAGAATTTGGCACGGTCTGAAAATTGTATTATTGGAATCTACGGTCAATAGGCTTTCTGTCGATGCCACATTCTTCCATAAATAGACAGTTCCTGGATAGAAAAAACAGGTTTTTCCAGTTGCATTGTAATCGAAGAAGACGTGAAAATTAATATTATGCTGTTTCGAACCTTATGTTTTATTGAATTTCAAGGCCCCTGTAGCAGAAACTAGAATTTGGGCTAGTCTGAAAATTGTATTTTTGGAATGTACAGTCCATAGGCTTTTTGCCAATGCCTTATTCGTGCATCACTAGACTTATCCGTGGACATAAAAAGCAATTGTTTCAGCTGTGTAATCGAAAAAGACGTTAAAATTAATATTATGCTGTTTCGAACCTTATGTTCTATTGAATTTCAAGGCCCCTTGTAGCAAAAATTAGAATTTGGCACGGTCTGAATATTGTATTATTGGAATCTACGGTCAATAGGCTTTCTGTCGATGCCACATTCTTCCATAAATAGACAGTTCGTGGATAGAAAAAACAGGTTTTTCCAGTTGCATTGTAATCGAAGAGGACGTGAAAATTAATATTATGCTGTTTCGAACCTTATGTTCTATTGAATTTCAAGGCCCCTGTTGCAGAAACTAGAATTTGGGCTAGTCTGAAAATTGTATTTTTGGAATGTACAGTCCATAGGCTTTTTGCCAATGCCTTATTCGTGCATCACTAGACTTGTCCGTGGACCTAAAAAGCAATTTTTTCTGCTTTGTAATCGAAAAAGACGTTAAAATTAATATTATGTTCTATTGAATTTCAAGGCCCCTTGTAGCAAAAATTAGAATTTGGCACGGTCTGAAAATTGTATTATTGCAATCTACGGTCAATAGGCTTTCTGTCGATGCCACATTCGTCCATAAATAGACAGTTCGTGGATAGAAAAAACAGGTTTTTCCAGTTGCATTGTAATCGAAGAGGACGTGAAAATTAATATTATGCTGTTTCGAACCTTATGTTCTATTGAATTTCAAGGCCCCTGTTGCAGAAACTAGAATTTGGGCTAGTCTGAAAATTGTATTTTTGGAATGTACAGTCCATAGGCTTTTTGCCAATGCCTTATTCGTGCATCACTAGACTTGTTCGTGGACATAAAAAGCAATTTTTTCAGCTGTGTAATCGAAAAGACGTTAAAATTAATATTATGCTGTTTTGAACCTTATGTTCTATTGAATTTCAAGGCCCCTGTAGCTGAAGACTTAAAAAGACTTAGTAATTTTTTCTTGTCCTCCCGCCCACCACATCTTTTTTTCTTGATTATTTCAACCATTCTCGAACCGATCCTGATACACGATATTGGCTTTTACAGTCCAATATCGCTACCATTAGACCACTTGCTCGTTGTTGGAAGCCTACCGCAACTTATTCACCTTAATCTTTTTCTCTAAGTTGTATACTTAATAAATCAACCCTTTTCCATTCCCAAAATGACCTTTGCAGGATTTGAACCACAATGGTAGATTACCCAACATGTAGTCTTTACCACTAGATCGTTGTTGGAAGCTTAGCGCAATTTATTCACCTAAACTTTTTTACTCTAGCTTGTGTAATATTCTACACATTTCAAGTCACAAAATTACTTCTGTAGGACTTGAACCACAATGGTACATTACACAACATACAGACTTTACCACTAGACCACTTGCTCGTTGTTGGAAGCCTACCGCAACTTATTCACCTAAGCCTTTTTTCTCTAGCTTGTGTAAAAATGGCTTCTGTAGGACTTGAACCACACCTGGTACAAGACACAAGCCTGTTGTCTTTACCACTAGACCACTTGCTCGTTGTTGGAAGACTTGCGCAACTTATTCACCTTATTTTTTCTCTAGCTTGTATTATTAAAATTCAATCATTTTTGAATCACAAAATGGCATCAGCAGGACCTGAACCACACCTAGTACAGGACACAGCCTGTTGACTTTACCACTACACCACTTGCTCGTTGTTGGAAGGCGAACGCAACTTTATTCACCTTAACCTTTTGCTCTATATTGTATAATTAAAATTCAACCCTCTTCAAGTCACAAACGCCGAGATTATATATATAATCCCGGGGACTATAATGAATTTAGTTGCTTAAAGAAGCAACTACAATCTCCTTCTCGTCTAGATAAACGCTATACCGTCTCCAGGTGAGAAAGAAACTACAAACGTGACATTCCATCCAGGCATCGCAGACTCAGGGTGCAGCCAAAATGATTAAGCCCAAATGCACTCTTTCACAAACTCCATTTAAATATTTTACTGACCAGTCCGTATTTGTATATTTCATAGTAAGTTCATGCCATGATTGTGGAACATTTTTCATCTATTAGCATACGGCATGCGCACAATTCCGCGCCAAAACCTCTCCAACTGTTGCGGCGATGGTCAAACTCCATTTCTGTGATGAAAACATTAACTTTTAACTGATAAAAAACATGTTTCAAGAAATTAGAAAATTTTGCTCAAAATGGCAAGTGGGAGGGGGATTGTTTCAAATTCTGACCAAAACTACTACAAGTTTTATAATTACCGGTAATATCCACTAAACTTTCATCAACTCTCATACAACTCTTGTTTTCGTTATTTTTTTATTTCAGCGAATTGAGTTTGCTAATCCATATCCTGTGGGGAAGACATTCTACCTAAAATGTGATCGTGAGGATATTCTTCACTTTGGAAACACCACCTTAAACGTAAGTCATAGTGTAAAGAAAGTTAGAAAGCTAGTGGCCCCTGGCTATGTTGGTGCCTCTAGTTATTTATCTACCTAAAATACATGTAGTCTTGTTAACTTAACCATTACTGTAACTCAAATAAGGTTATCAGAGTGTTTCTGGTCTAATCTGGAGTATAACAATGTGGCGAAGCTGAAGTATTTAGCAACCCCCGGGCCTCATTGAATGGACTGCATGAGGGTCCTCTTCAGTCTAAACCGGGGGTCATTAATTACCACAAAGTTACGCCACTTGGATCAACGCCTTTTTTGTTCATTCATATTTTAGCTGGGACCAGGTGAATCTCAGAGCATCAGTCTACGATTTCAGCCACAACAGTCTGCCGCTCAGATGCAGGTGTTAATGTTTGTTTATGACGAAGATGGCAAGAACGAAGAAACATTCTTACTCAATGTCCTTTATCGTTGACACCTCGTGCCGCTGTCGTGGAACTGTCGGGAAGAGGTCGTAGTTCATGTCATGTAGCTGTAGACCATGATGCCCCCGTCGTAAGGCTGTCGTTGCTGAATCTTGGAGCTGCCTGGTGTTGTCACACGGCTGTCATTGGACTGTCGTAAACCCGTCGTGGAGTTGTCGGAACGTTTCGGTTGCGCTATGGTGCATTTTTAATGGTTGTTCTCGAACCATCGTGGAGCTGTCGCAAAGTTTTCGCCGCCATGCGACCAGTTGCCTCAAACTGACTAAGGCTAACTTTACCCTGTACCTAATAGCTTTCTGTAGCGACGTGAAAGATAGCTTTCCGTAGCGACGTGAAAAAACACCTACCCGCACCTTTTACAAAGTTTTAGGAACGCTATTTTCAGAGGAATTATTGCAACGGAGGGATGTCGTTTCGCTCCGGTTCTAAAAGTTGTACATTCCGTATCGGATTGGTGCTTTTTAGCCCAGCTACGGAAAGGTATCCGTTACAAGTGTAAACGTGTCCTGAGAGTTTCCTGAAACTAATGGACCAATCCCCCAATTAACCAAAATTTTGAACTCAACAAGTCTAGACAAAAATTTCATCACAGCTTGAAAGAGCATCACAAAATTAGTAATATTCCAAAGTTTCTTTGCAAAATGTTGTAAAATGCGGATAATATAGCCTTGGAAATTTGCAATTTTCAGTCATTTTAGATTACAAACGGGAAATGGTTACCACTTCTGTGCGTAATACAAAATGACTGAAAATTACAAACTTCGCAAGGCTATATTATCCGCATTTTACAACATTTCGCAACGAAACTTTGGAATATTACCAATTTTGTGATGCTCTTTCATGCTATGATGGAATTTTGTCTAGACTTGTTGAGATGAAAATTTTGGTTAATTGGGGAATGGTCCATTGGGAGTTGCCTCAACTGTCCCTATTCCTGAAATACCAGCACAATTACAGGCTAATTAGTATAATTATTTTTTATTTAATCTGAGCATCAGACTTGTACAGATTCCATATATACAGATATAAAAAATAAAAACAAATCTCACTAATGAAATGTTCAAGACCACGGAATCACACTGTACGAGAAGCGTCCTTTTCAACTGTCTTTAATATTCTGGAATTTTTAATGTCAGCCTTGTTTAAAAGATTCCTGCAAGCCATTCTCTTGCAAGAAGACGTCTTTCTTACTTTTCATGACGGCGCTTGGAAGTTCACAACAATTTTTCCACGCAAATGTCCTTGGTTAAGTCTCTCAATAGCTTTCGGTAAATCAGAGAATGGATATACACTGTCGAGTACTGGAACAACCTAAAAATTAATTTATAAACTTTACGGCTTGAGTTTGGAAACTGGACTTTCGTCGTAATCAGAGACGGCGAACCGCATTTGAGCGAATCTTAAGGTGTCTATTATTCATTCGATCTGTACCCAAAAATGGCGGTAAATTTCAATATTTAGTGGTAAAATTAAAGAGAAATTATCTATTGTTTGAAACAAAAAATGAAAACAAAACACGTGCATGAGCAGAACGGCCTCTTTAAAATTATGAAGGCAATTTGGAAATTAATTTAAAATAAAATCTTTTGTTAATGTTGTTTTACACGCCCATCGTGAAACCAGCTTTACCTGACAATATTTGGTGCATTATTTTACTTATATTTTTTTTATCTTACCTTGTCCTTGCTCACTAGACTTTCTAGATAGTTGAGGGCAACACTGTTTGGTCGAAAGTAACCCCACTTGTAGTCGATATTTGAATTGAGACGCTAAGGATTGAGATAATTATAAGTCATTACAATGTCGTACTTGATCGTAGAGTTAATCTGGAAGCACACATTCCTACACACGTAAAAACGTACACGTTGTGATAAGCCTTCAGCAGACTTGTAGCAATGCTGTTCCAACAACTTGTCAACAGGATGCAGGGTGCGATAATTCAATATTTTTAGCCGTACCTGACTGGTACTCCGACAACTTTTGCCGCGTACCTGATCTGGTACAAACTTAAAGACGTACCTAAGACTACTTCCGAGTCATGCGTTTTTTATACCTACGTATAGTTTACTGGTCCAAAAGCAAAAAATGTATGGGCAATTTTGTATAAATGAATCTTTAATTATGGTATTTGCATGTACAACATAATATAACAGTTTTCAAAGCGTCGACGGTGTGACTCGAATGCCATCGCTTATTTACAGTGGATTTACCGAGGGCGAGCTGAGGGTGGTAACAGTCTGACCTTAGCTACATACAGTGTAGTTTTCCTCATTGGACCTAAAAAAACCTGTGGTTCCGGTTTCATATCGCGAAAAAATTAGGGTAGCTAGGTCGGAAATAAAAAATTTTTTGAATATTTTTTCATGGTTTTGGCGTTTTTTTGCTGGGCGATTTTCCGGTAAAGTCCCGACATGATATTGTGACAACAGACGCCATTTTGGCACGCTGTGCGAGCAGCCCGCAACCACCCGGAGAAAATAGGGTCGCACGGTCAATCTTGTTGAAAAAAATAATAGGGTGAGCAGAAAAAAATAGGGTCGGTCGGGAACCGGAACCACAGGTATTTTTTTAGGCCTTGCTATAGCATTGACAATTAAGCCCAGGACACCCCACACAACGATAACGATACGATAACTTGTAAACACGCGATGATTGGTCAATAAAATTATGTTGGTGTCTACACTGCAACGAAAACGATAAAATTATCGGCATTTGACGATAACGATTTTAAAATCGCTCACCGGAGCGATTTTTTTCCAGTCGGACGATGACGATAAATTTTTTGATCAAGGGCAAAGATAACCTTTTGGCTTTTTCATCCCAAAATATGTCGGATGCGTGGAATTTACATGTACAGCTAAAGTTCTTCACGGAATTTACATGTACAGCTAAAGTTCTTCACGGAATACTTTGGCAGATTTGCTAGTTATTGCTAGAAGGAAAATGTAAGTACGCGAATAGCAAATTTCCGCGTACCTATGTGGTACTTGTCTAAAAACAAAGAAGTACCAGACCATAAGTTTGGCGTACCTCCGGTACGTTGGTACGCGAATTATCGCACCCTGAGGATGTGTTCCCACTGCTTGTTCCCAGTTTGTTGACAAGTTGTAAACGCCTTGTTGGCAATTTGCTACAAGGTTGTTGAGCTCAACAGACTTGCTACAAGTTCTTCCAACAACTTGTTATCGTCGTACTATTCAACAACTTGTCAACAAGTTGTGAGTGACAACCTTGCAGCAAGTTGATAAAATAACAGCATTGTTACAACTTGTTGACAAGCTTGCTACAAGGCTGTTTCGAACACATTGTTGACAAGTTGTGAGATTTTTACGTGTGAAAGACACCATTACCTCGATTCTATACAAACTCACCTGTCTTAATGCCATAGCAAAGAACGTTCCAGCAGATCTTAAAGAACCAAGAGCGAGGCCAGATTCATCGATGATATCCAACATCGGAGGCATCAATGTCACATAGGTAGATTTGCTGCACGACCTCCCCGCATTGTTTGTGAAATATTCTAGTTGTCCACCAACCGAATCGAGTATGACATCATACCTAGGCTCACTCTTTATTCTTTTGGCAACATCTTCGCTTTTGTAATCGATGACGTCATCAGCGCCCAGTCTCTTTACTAATTCAACCGCGTCTGTACTACAGGAGGTCGTAACATGCGCTCCCCACTCTTTCATGACCTGCAACGAAATATTTGCAAAATACAGTGTAAAGTAGCTTGATAGCATACCCTGCCAGCACAGATGCATGGCACATCATGGAAACATTCGTTATATCAACTTTGAAACAAACAGGTTACTTTATAATTAGCTGGCACAAAACTAACGCCACGAACCGGGTATGAAAAATTGCTCCAGGCTCTTTGCAAACTTCAGATAAAACGATTATGGTCGGTGATTTGAGTGACCAAAATTGCCAGGTACATATTATAAGGGTCGGAAAACCCAGGTATTTTAATTATTTGGCCTGATTGGCACGCCAAGCAACACTGGATGGTGAACTGGCTTGTCGTTGATCTAGATGGGCGGCCCCTGACCGCATGACCAAACATGGACTGTCAAACAACCATTATCTATGTACAAACCTGAATTCCAATGTTACCAACACCCCCGCTACCTCCGACAATGAAAACTCTGCAATTATAAAATTGTTGCCGTAAACAAACAAGTCAAACAATTTTAAAAATATTTTTCAGACATTCGCATACTAGTTATATTAATATGCACCTCTTGTTTTTAGCATTTTCTTCAGTCAAGCCACCAGAGTCACATAATGCTGACCACATTGTGAGGTGAACGTAAGCAAGTGAAGCTGCTTCAATATGATTCAACTTTTTAGGCTTCAGTGCCAACTAAAATAGGACAAGGCAAAAAAGAAATTAATTTCCCTTATTAAAAAAGTTTAATAGGTGGCCTACCAGCGCCTACAGGAAATTTTCCAATTCCCTATAGAAACATATAGGCACCTACAGATTTCTATAGATATCCCTATACAGAAAATGTTCCAAATGTCTATAAAAACCTATTGGTTTCCAATAGCAACCTATAGGAGCCTGTAGGCCAGGCTTATATAAGACTTTTTTGTAAGGGAATGGACAACTGGCATGTTAGACTAAATTTCAATCTAAGTAAAAAGAAGGGAATCAAACACCACAGCTAAAAAGAACATAACTGATAAAATTAGTAAAATTGCAAAATTGGGTTGTGAAATGTTGTAAAGTTTGGAAAATATAGTGTTGCAAATTTGTATCCGTTTGTATTTCGTGCGGAAATTGTTACCATTTTCGGCTCAAAAATGGTAACAATTTCCGCACGTAATACAAACATATACAAAATATGCAAACCTCGCAAGGCTATATTTTCCGTATTTTACAATATTTCGTAACCAAATTTTGCAATTTTACTAATTTTACTAAGTTCTTTACGGGAATTTACTTTTTCTTGCCTAGATAAAAAATTCGTCTAACATGCAAGTTGTCTATTACTCCATGTAGAATAACTTTCATTTTCCAAAAAAGTTTAGGACAACTCAAAATTTTTGTTACCTCATCTTGTCCAACACAACAATATTGAGCAAAAGCACCATGTCTCCAAACGGCAGGTGTTCCCCAAACCTAGTAAACAAATCTGATCATTTCAAGTGGGAATACAAGATCGTTTTATATATTCTTCATTCTCTTTTTTGTTACAATGATATTTGTGTGACAACAGTGGTGTAACTCTACTTTTTTGACCACTTGCCCTCAGAGCAAGTTGGACATGAAAATTGTGACAATGCTGTTCCAACAACTTGCCAACAAGATGTCCCGTCAACAGGCTTCTAGTTCATTACGAAGTTGTGACAATGCTGTTCCAACAAGTTGTCAACAAGATGTCCCCTCAACAGGTTTGTAGCAAACTTGTTAACAAGTTGTGACAATGCTGTTCCAAACAACTTGTCAACAAGATTTTTCGCAACAAGTTTGTAGCAAGCTTGATAATTAACAAGTTCAGATAATGCTGTTCCAACAACTTGTTAACAAGATGTCTCCTCAACAGGCTTGTAGCATTGTGACAATGCAGTTCCAATAACTTATCAACAAGATGTATCTGCAACAGGTTTGTAGCAAACTTGTTAACAAGTTTTTACAATGCTGTTCCAATAATTTATCAACAAGCTGTCCCTCAACAGGCTGTAGCAAGCTTGTTAACAAGTTGTGACAATGCTGTTCCAACAACTTGTCAACAAGATGTCTCCTCAACAGGCTTGTAGCAAGCTTGTTAACAAGTTGTGACAATGCTGTTCCAACAATTTGTCAACAAGATGTCTCCTCAACAGGCTTGTAGCAAGCTTGTTAACAAGTTGTGTCAATGCTGTTCCAACAACTTGCCAACAAGATGTCTCTTCAACAGGCTTGTAGCAAGCTTGTTAACAAGTTGTGAACAACGCTGTTCCAACAACTTGTCAACAAGATGTCTCCTAAACAGGCTTGTACCAAGCTTGTTAACAAGTTGTGACAGTGCTGTTCCAACAACTTGTCAACAAGATGTCTCCTCAACAGGCTTGTAACAAGCTTGTTAACAAGTTGTGACAATGCTGTTCCAACAACTTGTCAACAAGATATCTCCTCAACAGGCTTGTAGCAAGCTTGTTAACAAGTTGTGACAACGCTGTTCCAACAACTTGCCAACAAGATGTCTCTTCAACAGGCTTGTAGCAAGCTTGTTAACAAGTTGTGACAATACTGTTCCAACAACTTGTCAACAAGATGTCTCCTCAACAGGCTTGTATAGCAAGCTTGTTAACAAGTTGTGACAATACTGTTCCAACAACTTGTCAACAAGATGTCTCCTCAACAGGCTTGTAGCAAGCTTGTTAACAAGTTGTGACAATGCTGTTCCAACAACTTGTCAACAAGATGTCTCCTCAACAGTCTTGTAGCAAGCTTGTTAACAAGTTGTGACAATGCTGTTCCAACAACTTGTCAACAAGATGTCTCCTCAACAGTCTTGTAGCAAGCTTGTTAACAAGTTGTGACAATGCTGTTCCAACAACTTGTCAACAAGATGTCTCCTCAACAGGCTTGTAGCAAGCTTGTTAACAAGTTGTGACAATACTGTTCCAACAACTTGTCAACAAGATGTCTCCTCAACAGGCTTGTAGCAAGCTTGTTAACAAGTTGCGACAATGCTGTTCCAACAACTTGTCAACAAGATGTCTCATCAACAGACTTGTAGCAAGCTTGATAACAAGTTGTGACAATGCTGTGCCAACAACTTGTCAAGAAGATGTGTTCTCAACAGGCTTGTAGCAAGCTTGTTAACAAGTTGTGACAATGCTGTTCCAACAACTTGTCAACAAGATTTTTCGCAACAAGTTTGTAGCAAGCTTGATAATTAACAAGTTCAGATAATGCTGTTCCAACAACTTGTTAACAAGATGTCTCCTCAACAGGCTTGTAGCATTGTGACAATGCAGTTCCAATAACTTATCAACAAGATGTATCTGCAACAGGTTTGTAGAAAACTTGTTAACAAGTTTTTACAATGCTGTTCCAATAACTTATCAACAAGCTGTCCCTCAACAGGCTGTAGCAAGCTTGTTAACAAGTTGTGACAATGCTGTTCCAACAGCTTGTCAACAAGATGTCTCCTCAACAGGCTTGTAGCAAGTTTGTTAACAAGTTGTGACAATACTGTTCCAACAACTTGTCAACAAGATGTCTCCTCAACAGGCTTGTAGCAAGCTTGTTAACAAGTTGTGACAATGCTGTTCCAACAACTTGTCAACAAGATGTCTCCTCAACAGGCTTGTATAGCAAGCTTGTTAACAAGTTGTGACAATACTGTTCCAACAATTTGTCAACAAGATGTCTCCTCAACAGGCTTGTAGCAAGCTTGTTAACAAGTTGTGACAATGCTGTTCCAACAACTTGTCAACAAGATGTCTCCTCAACAGGCTTGTAGCAAGCTTGTTAACAAGTTGTGACAATGCTGTTCCAACAACTTGTTAACAAGATGTCTCCTCAACAGGCTTGTATAGCAAGCTTGTTAACAAGTTGTGATAATGCTGTTCCAACAATTTGTCAACAAGATGTCTCCTCAACAGGCTTGTAGCAAGCTTGTTAACAAGTTGTGTCAATGCTGTTCCAACAACTTGTCAACAAGATGTCTCCTCAACAGGCTTGTAGCAAGCTTGTTAACAAGTTGTGACAATGCTGTTCCAACAACTTGTCAACAAGATATCTCCTCAGCAGGCTTGTAGCAAGCTTGTTAACAAGTTGTGACAACGCTGTTCCAACAACTTGCCAACAAGATGCCTCTTCAACAGGCTTGTAGCAAGCTTGTTAACAAGTTGTGACAATGCTGTTCCAACAACTTGTCAACAAGATGTCTCCTCAACAGGCTTGTAGCAAGCTTGTTAACAAGTTGTGACAATGCTGTTTCAACCACTTGTCAACAAGATGTCTCCTCAACAGGCTTGTAGGAAGCTTGTTATCAAGTTGTGACAATGCTGTTCCAACAACTTGTCAACAAGATGTCTCATCAACAGACTTGTAGCAAGCTTGATAACAAGTTGTGACAATGCTGTGCCAACAACTTGTCAACAAGATTGTGTTCTCAACAGGCTTGTAGCAAGCTTGTTAACAAGTTGTGACAATGCTGTTCCAACAACTTGTCAACAAGATTATCCCTCAACAGGCTTGTAGCAAACCTGTTAATTAACAAGTTGTAACAATGCTGTTCTAACAACTTGTCAACAATATGTATTTTCAATAGGTTTGTAGCAAACTTGATAACAAGTTGTGACAATGCTGTTCCAACAACTTGTCAACAAGATGTCTCTTCAACAGGCTTGTTACAAGTTTGTTCACAAGCTGTTAGCGAGATGTATTTGCACTGCTTGTCACAAGTTGGCAACAGGTTTGGAACAACTTGTTGACAACTTGTAACAACCTTGTCGAAATTATCAGACTTGTTGCAAGGTTGTTCTGACAAGTCTGTGACATGCTTGATGTAAGATTGTTACGACCTTGTGTTGACAACCTTGTAACATCCTTGTTATATCATGGCTGTAACAAACTTGTTAGCACAATCTTGTAACAAGGCTGATAATGCCATCAAGGTTGTTACAAGTTGTTAACAGCTTGTTTCAAACTTGTTACAACAAACTGGGAACAAGCAGTGAGAGCAGAACTTGTTGGACAGCTTGTGAACAGACGTATAACAACTTGTTTGCAGAGTGCTGACTTGTTACAACTTGTGCGTTTTTACGTGTGTAGCAAGCTTGTTAACAAGTTGTGACAATGCTGTTCCAACAACTTGTCAAGAAGATGTGTTCTCAACAGGCTTGTAGCAAGCTTGTTAACAAATTGTAGCAACGCTGTTCCAACAACTCGTCAACAACTTGTCCCCGCTAAATCCCCCACCCCTCCCCTGCACCCCTCCCCTGTTGGGGGAGGGGGGATTTACTTTGACTGGTGCATAACAAAGTGGAGTTTGGTGTGGTGGGATATTGTACAGTTATCACACTCCCTATGCCTCAACGTACCTCATCACCCTCTCTGACTCTGGTCGCCTGTGCACCTCTCTTGACCACCACGCCAGAAAAATCTCGCCCCAGGATCACTGGAAACTCCGCCAACTCTGATTTATTAAACTTCTTCAAACTTTTAAGCAGAACAGAGCCGAATCCCTCTGTCATCAAGGCATCGATCGGATTCAACGAAGCTGCTTTGACTTGCACTAAAACTTCGTTAGGTTTTAAAGAGGTTTGAACGTCCACATCGTCCAAAATTGGTATATTGTTTTCACCATAGTGATATAAGCACCATGCCTGCATGCGGGATGGTGCTGACTTCGTACTAAAATGCGCGATACTTTGCCCTTTTCCAACATTCAGAATGCAAGCAGCTGTCCTAAATACAGTTCTCAGCATGTTAGATTGTTTTTTAGAAAGATCGTTTCATAAAAACCCACAAAAACCGGTGATTTTGTTTTTAAAAATGCCCAATATTTACATATTTTGTTCGATCGCTCAATCTGTTGTTTTTGTTTACAAAAGAGCCCGCAATGACCACTTGTATTCAGCGGTTGTAATAGATGCAGTACTTCATGTTATGGCTTACAATTATTCGCTGAAGCCGAGGTTTAAAACACGAAGTTACCGCCAAGGCACGAAGCGTCGAGGTGAAACACGAACAATCATTGGTTTTGGGGTGTCATAATTTGTCCGCTAAAATTCCAGCTACTTGTCACCCGTCGGCGAGATATTTTATAAGATATCAATTCGAAAATACTGTTTCATTATTTTAGCAGGATATTTTGTCTGCCAATCAAAAACACGAAATGTTAATGGCCTGCAGCTGTAGCGCATATGCAAACAATTATTGTATTGACCCCACGAGACAGGGGGAGCAACTTGGAGGGTGGGGGGGGGGGAACATAGTTCACTGGAGGGCCACTTAATTGGCCCCCTCCCTAGTTCATAGCCCTACTGTTCGATAGATTGGTGGCCAACCAACTTATATGTGGTCTGCTGTTAACCCCATTCAGAACAGTGAAACTGTTTGATTTTTTCATAGTAATTGTCAGTCGTTTATTCAAACTTATACATGGAATTTATACAGGCCACGTCATTCAGTAATTTGAGATATTTATGCACGAAATTAATTACGCACTAATGTTTTTACCAAATGCATTTAAATTACATACCTTAGGAACAAAGCATTTCAACATGTTCATCACCTGCAGTTTACCCAAATTGTAGATATTTCTATACACAATTTTAAGGCACGATATTGAAACCACATTAATTACGAAACCAATTTTGTAGGGATAACAGTTAATGACTTTTTACTTTCGCAATTTACATTCCAGTACTTTTGGCAGTGTTCATCAATAAGTTGCTTGCTGAGGTTTGTGTCAGAAAATCCTCTAAAAATGAAGGCTTTTCGAAGACTCACAAGAACGAGTGGCGAAGCCACAAGTTTAGCGTCGAAGACGCGAGCTTTTAAGGGGGTCTCTGAAATGGCATTTCCAGAGTTCTGAGAACAGAATTTGCAAAATCTTTGGCCATTTTGCGTGGATTACATTAATATATTTTCAGTTTAATATATTTTCAAGTACACACTTTTCAATTTACAAGGGCACATTCGCTTTTTACAAGGACACAAAGTGTGTACAAGGACACGCTATTTTAATGCCTGACTTACAATAGATATTCATTTTTTGGTTTTCAATTATCGTATATACAATTAAAGCCGCTTTAAATTATCAAAGTTTCTGTGATCACAGTAGAAATTTTGCACAGGCAAATTCTAAGTTTTGAAGGATATGCAAGAGATGTTTGAGGGATCTGACTTAATTAGTGTTTAACAATGACTCAATTCCCTCAAACACTTCTGAAAATTCCGTCAAAACTTAGAATTTACCTAGTGTAAAATTCCTACCGTGAATCTGTGATCACAGAAACTTTAATAGTGTGAATCAGCCTATATAGACTTTATAACTCGAAAACGTCATTTACAGATTAGAAGTTTTGATTTATTGTTCATTGGAATACTTCTTATACATCCAAAGCGCAATCAACTAAAAAAATACCATATACCATGCTAGCAAAAGTTATTTTAAATATTACAATTAGCTGAAGTTCTCGCTTTGTTGTCCGTTTTACAATATTTTTCGTCAAGTAACCAAACTTGATTCAATATAAGCAATTTCTTGAAATAAACAGCGCTCTTTTTTGCCCAAAACCAGAGAAAGATAACGCCCAATATAGCTCCAGTACAGCCCAGAACGTAGAAGACAATGCATGTTGTCGACGTGCAACCTCGAGAGGCATCTTTTATCACAGAGAGAATGTTGAGGGTAAAGAGGATAAGAAAAGAGAGAAGCCATATTATTGGTACCGGTTTTTCATCAAGAAAACGCCACTAAAAAGAGAAAACAGTACTTGATAAATAAACTGAGTAGACAATACATGTAGTAACACTGGACAATCAATATTACCACCATCATCACCAGCATCACTAAATACCATGACACACATACAACGTAAACAACTACAACACAAACAACAACAACACAGACAACAAGCTTACCTCACGTAACGGTTTAACCAGCTTTTTGACCGGTACCTCGTGCAAACACAACTCACAGTTCGTTTTGACAGAACTTTTCAACCAGTTCAATAAACACGACTGATGGACATACTTCATAGAACCAGTACATAAACATGGACTGACCAAAGTTTCAAGATCTGTTACACTGTGACAAATACGACAAGACAAACCATCGTCACTGCTTGGCTTCTTGTTTGAAGGAAGACCGTGTTTGCAAGCTCCACTTAATGAGCAGTTATCACCAGATTGTAAACTCGAATGACTAGTTTGTAAATTCGATTGGACTGTTTGTAAACTCGAATTTCCAGTTTGTAAAATCGAATTACTAGTTACTAAGTGTTCTCTTTCATCGCCTGATGTTATACAAACTAATGTCTGTGGCACTACTTTTGAATAAACACCAGTTTCGTCATATCTCTCCTCAATGTTTCCAACCAGCAGATCTCTTTTCTCCAGGTATATACAACTTGAATCAACAGGCCCTGTATTTTCAACGACTGCCATTGCCTTACTACCACGCCTTTGCCTTTGGGCGAAATTCGTCTTCTTTCCAACGGGTTTTTCACAGCTGTGAATTTCTTTCAATATATCTGTGTCACTATGAGGTGCTGTGAAAAGTTCATTGGGGCAAATGTTTACCACGGCAGCAAGTGGTTCAATTTTGGGAACATTTTTCCATGATTCGTGACTTTTAATCACAGAGTATGGTTCAATTTTGGAAACCCTTTCCAAAGAGTCTTGACTTGTAGTTTCTGTAACTCCGAGATAATGCGGACAACTATGTTCTCTTTGTCTAAACTCATTGTTCAAAACTTTCTCCCTTCTGGGAGAGTCGTGAAATGTTTTTAAACTGTTGCAGTCTTTAGCAGATGAGTCCATGGCCATATTTTTCTTCTTACTCGAATGGGATTCACCCGCTCTGTTTATGTCATGAACGTTTTCCATACTTTCGTTGTTGATAGCATTTTGGCATTCTTCATATTTTTCCATTTTTTTCCCGTCGTTTGAGTATTAAAAGTTCTTATCACTATAGTAAAAAAGGTAATATGTGATATACCAGTTAGTCTTTGCCTTTGGCTGTATTTATAACTTTTATATCAGAAGACGTCGCTAAGACGTCTGATATAAATACGGGAGATTGTTTAGACGAACAAAAATTACAGACGTCTTAGCCATCTTTTAATTCGTCTGGCATAAAAAACGAAGACGATTAAACTTGGACGCACTTAAGTAAAGAAATACTGTATATAGTTGGCAATGAAACTGATGAAATATTCTATATTTTCTTGGTTTCATTCCCAGTATATGGCGTTCAACGATACATATATAATTCATCTCGTATTTAAATTTTGACTTCTTCAAGACTTCAACACAAGTTGTCTAATACGTCCAGACATGTTAAGGCGTCTTTTCAAACAAATACGGGTATCAGTAGTGAATGAAACAGATTCTAAAAAAATGTCGTCTTGAGAATTTGATATTGAAATTAAACAGGACAAGAGACTAAAATGAAACAGGACAAGTTTTTGAGACTGTTCAAGACTAAAAAAGTCTCGGACAATCATATACTGTGATATACAGAATTCAAAAGTCAGAAAAGATGCCACTTTCTTCGTTATAATAATCTTCTATATACTCTCTTTGACTCTTATGTTCTGAAATTGTCAAATGCACTCGCAGGCTAGTTTATCTCGTGTGATTAGGTTATTAATATAATGATATACCCTTCCTTTTTGGGCAATTCAAAATAGCTTGCAAAATCAATAAAAAATCTGAAGACAAAATGCAACAACATTAAAGATTCTAGACTGCCTGATACCGGTTCAAACTGGCTCTCTGTTGCTGTTCGAAGGTTTCCATAAACCAAGTATAATGAGATTTGCTATAAGCATGACCATTCATGTCTGTTTGTTCAACGTCATGCAGAAAAAGTATATTTCCAACTAACATCCCCTGTAACTTGCTGGTTGGTTAATCTTGCTTTAAGCTGCCATGGTTTTAATCTTTTTTAGGTAATGTTTAAGTTGTTTAGAGCTTGTGAGGACTGATAATACCCATATTCGTATACTAGACCCCTATGTTTAAAATATTAGTTCTAATATAGTCGTATTGACGGTTTTGCCAAGCTTACACTCATCAGTAATAAGCTTGAAGAGTTTGATGAAAACGTACGATATTCTTGACTATCTGACGAGAATTTTCTTAAAATAAATAATTGACTTTTAAGCTTGGCTGAATATGGACCCCATTCCTATGTAATATTAAAAGGTTTTAACCACGTTTTAACAGAGAATGGCGGATAGGCAGAATTTCGCGTTTCATAACAGCAATACAGCATATAGAATATATTTTACCACTATGTGTCTGTTCAATTAAGTTAAATTTCAATCATGGATTGAATAATACAAACACTTAAGTGGCATTTTGTATATGTTGAAACGATGGCCAGAGGCCATAATACAGTGAGACGTAGACTATTAATATCTATTTAAAACGTTTTATAATCGCGTATCATGCAGTTTTCGCGATATAGTTGAGACGAATATAGCTTGCCATAGAATCTGTGCGCAAAGCCATGTTCTTGCCATTTTTAGACTACATTTTGTCTAAAAACGTCTGGCAGATTGATATCATGGCAACTGCGCGTACGCAAAATGTGGCCGAAATTAACATCTTACCTTGTTTACATATTTTGCGCAATATATGAACTTCTTATATTACACCTGAGAATGCCAGAGGACATGAAGTGCGTTTGAAGACACTTGGGCGACTTTCACAGACGTTTTAGGCACTGCGAACAAAGTGCGCAAATGACGCGCAAACCAAGAAGCGGAATATATGCTAATGTCGCTCTTGACAAGCAGTTAATCACAGACGATTGCCTTTGATCTAAGAAGCATCGAAAGGCGCGGAATAATCTGTCATGGAATGTTTGCAGTCAAAACATAACGCAGCAATGCGGGAGATAGCGTTGCGCGATGCACGGAAGCTAGCAAAACGCTGCAAACGGCCAATTTACATAAAATGCGCGTCATGTTGTAAAAACCATCGATTTTCGAAGGTTAGAACTTCGTTTCTAGCACTCTCTGGATACTAATCTGCTAAGTTCATTAGTTGCCAGTGGAACCCGTTGTTTATATAACCTCCTCAGGGTTTACTTGTAAGAAAACACGACGTGTCGCTATCATGTTACTGCGAAAGGAACGATGTTTATATTAATGGCAAAAAATAATGAAAACATGTGAATCAATATAACACATGGGTTTTGTGGTATTTTTTAAAGGAAGTAATAAGGAAATTTTTATTGTTTTATTGTTACGCCCTTTTTAATATAATATCAAGATATAGTAGAAATTACCATGGCAAGGAAATATAATATAAAAAATTTTAATTGATTTTTACAATTGTTTGAAAAGAAACTAGCGCTTCCAGTTTTTTAGAACCAATTCTCTGGGTATTTTCTTTTCAATTCACCTCCAATAACACTGGATGCTTAAAGCAAGGGATTACTGGACTACTACGGAAAACACGGTTTAGAACTGCTAGAACCATCCAGTATAAATAAAGTTAGTTTCGATCAGTTTTATGATAATATACATGCACTACCAATTAAGCATTTGGCTTTCTGATATTTTCTTTCACCCTCTGATTCCCCCCAGGTTTACTGCGAGACTTTTTACGGATAAGCCTGTCACAGTTGTAAATCTGAGATATCTCAGCACATATAGCGCTATGGATAGATATAACAAAAACAACTAAAATTTTCCCACGTCTTGGAATTACTCGCTAGCTGTGTATTATTGTTGCTAAAGGGCAATTTGACTGTTGAGGGCGAAGGTGGTGTTCGGAGCGGATATGACTTTTCTAATGCATGCTATAAGCCATGCACGGCCATGTTTTTTTGAGGTCGAATGAACTATTCTCCCCAGGGGCGAAACTAGGCCCTTTTAATTTGGGGGAGGGGGAATGTCTGCTAGAATTGCCCTGCGAAAGCCGATGATGCCCTGCAGCAAAAATGTTTTTTGGACACTATTTCTCCCAATTTCCATACTATGGTCTGGATATAGTATGCGGGAAATAGTTTGGATATAGTATGGATTTAGTGATTGAATTTCACTATTTTTTTCCAGTGAGGAAGGTTGTTGAAAAGCCGTTTATAGCTTAATCCAGGGTTAACTAAAAACTTCACAGAAAACATTCCAACAACGGCTGCATAAACTTTAAAATATTTTTCCACAAATCTTTTCTGGATAAACAGAAGTTTTTATTTTCTACAGTTTTGAAATAAACAGACATGCAGAACACACAAACCAAAACAGCGGGTTAATTAAACTTTTAACAACCGGGCCATCCCCTCAATAAGCAACAGGTTGGCCTAGAATCTAGATGTGATAGCCTCATTTGTGTTCATGAGACGTGCAACATGTTCGATCTTGCAAGACGGTGAGACGGTCTTATCAATTCAAATCAAAGATTTGTTTTTGTAATGCTTCAAGGTCGCGAGTATTGACGACAGCAAATGCATTTATCTCATCTGTTGTGTTTACTTTCCGCATTCCGGAAAACTTAATGGAAACTTATATATAATTTTGAGAAATTAATAACCTATTGCCCATGGCCATGAGATTATAATCGCACAGAAATAGGACGCCAAAACATCTGTTTTAGCATTCAACTCAATGCCAGATGACTATCCTGGACAATTGTGCTATTCATAATTGAAGTTGAATCAAAGAATTGTAGTCTTTCAAGTAATATATAATAAAGGAGAAAGCGTTTCACTAGCGTATAAAATGCTGATAAGTGTGTTGAAAAACCAGGCGCTTGGCGAGTTTTTTCAACATATTTTGAGGTGTTTTATTCATAAATTCAGAGGAACAGTTAAGCTAATTTATGGGTGTTCAGTATCGTGATATATGTAATATGAAGACAACGATGTCCAAGGCCGATTTACTGCACAACTTTTTCCTAAAACTGTCGCATGCAACCCTGCTTAGTGCTTACAACGTGAAGTTGTGACTTTGTAAATCAAGCAGACAACTCATCTACGACAATATAGGTGAGTTGTGTGCTTGATTTACACAGTACGACTCAAGTTGTAAGCAGGTTGCATGCGACAGTTTTAGGCAATGAAATTGAGTAGTGCAAATCGATCTTAATAGACTATAGGGAAACAAATCTGCTTCTAGGATACATGTGGAAAAGTGATAGAAATTGATAAATTCCTTTTGCCGTAGCTTTTAAATACGGAATGATGAGAAAAACTAATGTTAATGGCACAAAAATTTCATTGTTAGGACGGCATTCGATCGGGTGATGTGTGGATATGCTAAAATATCGGGTGACACCCGAATTCTCGCAACCTCGCAAGTCAGACTCTTTAACCCAACACAGCAGGTGGCCTGGGTACGAGGTTGAAAATTTGGCAGTTTTCTACTATCATCAGAAGCTACAATGGCTAGAGAACTACTCAATTTCTGATCATCGAGAAATGCCATCGTCATGAGTCATTGTGTTTACAGCAATCAAAATTCGAAAAGGGATCAAAATAATTATTGATGATAATTTTTTATGATAATTTTAAAACCGACTATAAATTGGCTTACATGGGCGACATATAACAAGTTAAGTACGTACAGTACCTGAATCATGACAAAACGTCAGGCGGTTGCTGGCTCCACGCTGTCACACACCAAATCGCCACAAACAGGACACAAAAAGGATGGATCACCCATGACGTTTGCCTAATTAATAGTCAACGAAGTAATCCAAGATTATACGAGAACTAAACTACTAAACAAAACCAGCTTTAATTACTAATTACATTAGTCTGTGTTACTAAATCAGGAGAGCAAAGTTTCTGAAAAGATCTGAAGTGTTTAGGAGAGTCAAAAATCTTTTATCAACTGAGGCAGTTTTAAAAAATAATAAATATAAGAAAAAACATACTCCGAATCTCAAGACAAAAATTACGGCGGTGATATTTCGACTCTATTTCAGGGTCATTGTCAAACCTAACTAATTATTTACAATCGTTCTCAGATCTTTATAAGGAGAAATAGGAGGATGACGTAATCAACTGGAACGGAAGACAGTAATATGAGGAGGTATATTTACAAACAAATAAATTGGAGCCCTAATTACGGAAAAATAACTAAATGTTTTCTTCCGTAATTTACTTGTTTGTCAATATAGCGCCTCGTATTTCTGTCCGTTCCGTTCCAGTCGATAACGTCTTCTTCCTATTTCTGCTTTTAAAGATCTGAGCACGCAACAGTGAGCTCCATATGTATCTGGAGAAGGAACTTGGTTGCTCAAAGTGAAGCCAGTTTCGTGTTAACCGCGCATACAAAAACAATAGAAAGGGACTGGAACTGACGTCCAAGAGCTCCTTCAATTTCCGCCATCTTGGCAAGGAGTGTGTTGAAATTTCGTATTTTGACTTCGATGTAAAGAATAATATTGTGATTTTATGAACTGAAAACTTGATTAGTGATACGGTCCATTAGAAAAAACTGGAATTAGCTGGGGGAAAATGGTATAAAAACTGTTTATGACCTTCAGAGCTATTGGACATCAATGGCCGCCGGCTTCACTTTTCTCATTGACCGAATGACTGAAGTTCTTACATATATATATATATATATAGAGCTCACTATATTATATATATATATATATATATATAGAGCTCACTGGCACGCAAGCCGTTGTGAATGTTTTCAGGGGATGACGGCTTCTCCTTAGCGCACTGCGCACTGGCTAGCAACATGGTGACCGAACAGAAGAACCCCTCCTCCTAGCGAGATCCAGCATCACCTCAAAGAATCTGTTTGATCATGCATTTTCTGCTTTTCGAATAGCGATTAGCGGAACTTCTACTTTTAGCGCGTATTGATTTATTCAAACGATTTCATTGATTTGTGAGCAATGTTTTAGTTAAATATCATAGTTGAATAATGTCGAGGGTGTTATACAGCCATATTTCCAAATATACTGCACTGTACATGTGCTACAGCAACTGTCCAGTCACGCATACTGTACCTAATAAAAAGCGGCTATAAACTTCATAAAAAATATAATGTAAAACGTAAATGAATGGCGAACATGCAGATTCGGCCATCTTAAATAATGGTAATGTGGGATAGTAGCGTTGCAGACTGCAGAGGAGAGTGGGCAGTAAGGCTCCGTCATGCACCATCCCAAGGAAAACCTGCACCCCTCCTTGCAAATGAGACTAGAGCCGCCCCTTGTATAGAGCAGACAACCAATTGTCTTGTCCCGACAACGATCAACTTTAAACAACCTGCTGGTATTAGCTCAGGATTGGCATGGGTTAGAATTGTAGGTTAATTGGATAATGTTACGATTCGTAGTGATATACCTTAATGCAAATATAACAGAACATGTGGCCACATCTGGTCTGGTGAACATTGGTCGGCAATTCACCACAAACACCGCAGTGAGACATTAACAGAGCCTTCCCATCCTCCATTGCGTCTGGTTTCTTCCACATCAACCGTAACAAGGTGTTGCGCAATCTTGGAATGTTGATCATGGGCAGAATGCAAAATAAGAATTCCTTTAAATGAAAAGAAATGAAATATACTACTAATCTGAGGTACTGTATGGAAACAGAGGTACGAACAGAGGTACTGTATAGAAAATATCATGGACAAAACCCACAACTGACAGACAGCTCAACCAAAGGAGACTTGAGAACATATTATGGTGTTTCATAGACGTAAAGTCGACTGAGGTGAAATTATAATCATTATAATCATTATAATCGGTCGGTGCCAGTGTGGGTAGATACGATAACAAACAGCTGTGGTATGAAGAATATACGACTACCTAGTGGCGAAGGCCACTAAACGTGGTCACTATGTCACTATCAACTTCCCGAAGGGCGTTCTCTCGAAACGTAGAGGTTCTGCTCATACAGGTATTTTTCAGGTAGTTGTAGCAGGGTTCGTACATGTGAAGAAGATTCGAATTCAAGAACTTTTCAAGGACATTCAAGGCCATGTATCAGCAAAATCAAGGACTAAATACTGAAGAAAAGGGGTTAGAAATCAATAAAATCTGACGTTGAATTGTTCAAAACGCAACATTTATAAATTGGGAAATATTTCTTTAGAAACCTGGTCTAAATCAGTAGGAATTTTCTTCCCTGACGTTTTGAGATAAGCAGACGAGTAGAAAAAAATACATAAAACATCAGGTTAAATTTTAACCGAGGGTTAGCGGCAATCTAGCTTAGTTTGAACAACCGACCTCAGAGGTGAATAACATATGCACTAACTACTTCGTACTGTACGCCATGCACCAGTACACCAACTGACGAACAGACAAATAGAAACTCGTAAATACAGATACACGATAAGAGTAAATACTTTATAAGCTTTCGTTGGTAAGAATGCAACTACCTGAAAATATATAAGGAGAATTTCGACGTTTCGAGCCTTCGGAAGGCTCTTCGTCTGGAGTTACAGTACTCTGGAGTAACTCAAGAAGAAACCAGAAGGGCCTTCGCTCGAAACGTCGAAATTCTCCTTGTATATTTTCAGGTATATATATAGTCAGGCGGATAAATGCAAAAATGCAGAATTATTGCGCAAATGGTCATACAATGAAATTTTGTGAAAACAAAGGCTATTATCTCTAGAGTTCATATGGATATGGAACCACGTCTGAATTTAGCCTAAACAGAAGTTATCAGGTGTTTCCTGACAGTCGCCATCTTTTACCGGAAGTGAATCAGTTAAAAACCGGGATTTTGTTTTGGATTTTTTTGCTTTTGCGAGTGTTAAAGTGCACCAGAGTGAGGAGACGTACACCAGAGTGAGGAGACGTGCACCAGAGTGAGGAGACGTGCACCAGAGTGAGGAGACGTGCACCAGAGTGAGGAGACGTGCGCCAGAGTGAGGAGACGTGCACCAGAGTGAGGAGACGTGCACCAGAGTGAGGAGACGTACACCAGAGTGAGGAGACGTACACCAGAGTGAGGAGACCATACACCAGAGTGAGGAGACGTACACCAGAGTGAGGAGACGTACACCAGAGTGAGGAGACGTACACCAGAGTGAGGAGACGTACACCAGAGTGAGGAGACGTGCACCAGAGTGAGGAGACCGTACACTAGAGTGAGGAGACGTACACCAGAGTGAGGAGATGTGTATGATCGAACCAGCACTGCCACGCTTGTAAACGAGGCCCGATTACAGTTGTTCAGTCAAAAGGGTAGAGCCTTTGACAATATACCACCAACCCAAGCAGCTCTGCTGTAGCACGTCAAGCGGGCTGTTTATCAGGCTGGTTATTGCTGGGGGCAAGCAATGATTGTCCGTCCACAGTTGCCTTGTCCGTCGGAATGTGGACGGTTACTTTCGGGAGATACTACCTGGAATCCGCAGTGGACAACACTTCCTGATGTCACAAAAAGTAGCAGGGATCTTATAAAATGCGGTTGTAAGAAGGGATGCAATCGAAATTGTTCCTGTAAAACAGCAGCATTAAAGTGCACTGGTTTGTGTCGATGTGGCGATTATTGTACTGATAGTTGAACTCATTTATGCGACGTGGAAACATGTAATACTACAAACATTACGAAGAAAAGACTAACAATAAACGGAAACGAATAGTTACAACCCGCCTTTCTATGATTTGTGTGGCTCTTTATTTTACCATGTATTATGGATGTTACACGAACTAACTTAAACAAGCTTTATAATACAATTACTAACTTCCGGTTGCTACTTCCGGTTACATCTTTGAAATGAAGATTATATCGCTGTTTATAACTGTAAGCCAATGAAATGCGTTTATGATGACATAAATGTGATAAATACAAATATTTTTCATGAATCAAAGAGTACGAATCTATATTTTTGTGTATAAAGATGAATTTCAGAGTACTTCCGGTTTGGCTGGCAGCCATTTTGGATGACCTCTCATAATTACTTCAATATGCATTTTCAAGTGTGGTTCCATATCTAGAATTATTTAGCCCATTAATATGTTCTAAATTTCCAATTTTAGTGCTTGTATCACTAAGTGCACAATTTTTACAGTAGCCGCCTCACTAGTTTCATCCCTACCAACGATAGCTTGTTCATTTGATTGGCACTACCTACTGTACACTGGCAACGACAGTTCAAGATTATCCACTTTACACTCTATTAACTTACAGCCAATCCACTTCGTAGAATATCCCGATTCATGTACTCAAAATAAACCTATAAACAATACCACACGTAGAAAGATAAGAAATTGGACCAAATTCGTGATGATTGAAAATCAACTAAGCCTAAGGCGTTTTCAAAGCTACTGCAGTATGTTTCTTACCACTCTGGGCGCTTGTTTCTTACAAAAGACTGTATAAATACCCAACGCTCTTTCTAACAATGACTTATGCCTAAAAAGAAGAAATCTAATATTATACGTCAGTCGCATAATTGGGATGTTGGCTCATATAATGTGAAAGTTTCGGAATGTTAGGGGTGCAACTACATGAAAAATACAACGAGAACTTCGATGTTTTGAGCGAAGGCACTTCGTTGGGAAGTTCTTCCCGACGAAGTAACTTCGGGAGTCCCGGCGAAGGAAATTCGGGAGTCCCGGTGAAGGAACTTCTGGAGTCCCGGCGAAGGAACTTCGGGAGTCCCGGCGAAGGAACTTCGGGAGTCCCGGCGAAATAACTTCGGGAGTTCCGACGAAGGAACTTCGGGAGTCCTGGCGAAGGAACTTCGGGAGTCCCGGCGAAGGAACTTCGGGAGTCCCGGCGAAAGAACTTCGGGAGTCCCGGCGAAGGGCCTTCGCTCGAGACGTTGAAGTTCTCCTTGTATTTTTCAGGTAGTTGCATCCTATCAATCAGAAACTTTCTTATTATTGCATGGTATTACTTATTATTACTGCAAAAATTAAGCGATGACCAGGGGACCTCTAGGGGAAACAGTTCATGATTGATAAAACAATTCTATCATTTTGGTGTCACAAACCTAGCGTCTTGCAAGAAAACTATGAAATTCAGAATCCCAAGAAATTTATGCAACATCACACCAAGATTTATGACTTTCCACAGCTAAACGTAGAAAGTATAACAACAAATTAATATATAGCTGCAGTAGCTACATTTCTTAATCTATGCCAAGACGTATATATATACATATATATATATACATATATATATATACATATATATATATATATATATATATATATATAGAATTTCGCTTACCTCAAAATTCCGCAACAGTCTGTTTCATCAGTAAAGAATCATCCGGCGGTATGACAAGTTTCGAAAAATAGGGCTGCTTATATGTGTTTTGGCCGGAACGTGGGGGTGTGTGGGTGAAACAAAGCATGCATTCATCTATTGTTTGCGTTGTTTACGCGGAAATGCCTAATCGAATTGGGGGAGTGTATTGTTTGCGTTGTTTACGCGAAATTTCTTCCTATGTCTGCACGTAGATATAATTTCCATTCTTTTATTGAGTAAACGGTTTTGGTTTTCTTTCAAAATACAAAATTTTTCCTCTAAACATAAATTACATCGTTTTGCTCCTCCCGTATACGAAATAGCGCGTTTCAAAATTTGCCAATTGATATTAAAATCTTTCTTGCTATCTTTCAATGTCCAAATATATTTCGAAAGTTCAGTTTTGTTTGAGTGCTCTTTATGCTCGAAAGTATAGTTATGGTTAGCCAAACGCTCTTTAAATGTAGTTGATGTCATGCCAATATAATTCATGATCGTGTTAGGGTTGCTTGTTGTGACTGTTGCTTTGTATACTATGTCCTTAGTCATGCATTGTTTCTGAAGTGGGCATGTTGCGTTTTTCGAACAACTGCAATTGACAGTGCCCTTGCCCTGTGCCTTGTTCTTCCTAGCTATATGTGCATTGTGCTTAGTGATTATAGACTTAACATTGCTCATGCAGCTATAACTTACTTTTACTGTATTTCTGTTAAAGATCTTATGCAGCTTGTGGTGCGAAGGAAAGTGCTTGTCGATAAGGTTAAGAAAATTACGCCCTATATTAGTGCTGACATTCATGCTAAATGGTGGGTTGAACCAAATGATATTACGTTGCCTATTTCTGCGTGCTTGTTGTGGTGCGTGTTGAGTGTAGTTAAAGTTGCTATGGTCAAGTGCGTTTTGGTATGCAGGTGCAGATTCCATAAATGTTTGCTCATCTGATGAAAGCATTGCAATGCGCTTGTTAACTGATGTAGGAAGCTGCCTTATAATGCTAGGTGGATGGTTAGAGTACCTATTTATGTATAGCGGATCGTCATTGGGCTTTCTATAGGGCCTATATTTTCCGTTGTTAAGATTGAAAGTTACATCTAAAAAGTTTACTATGCGTAAATTTGATTCGGCGGTGATTTTTAGGTCAAACAGCTCGAAAATTTTGTGGAGTTCTTTCCTTTTTTTGTCTGCTAAACGTGCCGATTTACTTTTTATAAGGGCCAAACCGTCGTCTCTATATAGGCCGATGCTTTCTTTGCCAAACTTCTTACTTAGGTGATTTAGGATGAAAAGGCCAACTAATTCACATATTTCGGCGCCATCGTGGCTGCCCATGGTAACGTCAAACAAACCTTCACTATCTTTTTTTGTCCATGGTTTTCCGGTGTTGAAAAGCAGAGATTTTCTGGCGTGTTTTATGATCAAAATATCATTATCCGAAATGGTAGTTAAATTAGAAGCCCAAGATAATGCTTGGTCCAAAAGCTTTTCCGAAATGGATGGGTAAAAATCAACGATATCAAACGAAATAAAACTATGTCTTTCTTTGTCTTTTATATTTCCAAACCATTCAATTACTTGTTTTGTATTTCTCCACTGGTTCAAATTCAGTTATTGTCTCAAATTGGAGTTAATTTCATCTAAAATAATTTTGCTCAATTTTCCTGATTCGCTTTTAGCGGGATTAATTAGCCGACATTTTGGATTGTTCTCGAAATTTTCTTTGTGGACTTTTAAAGATATAAATGCTTCACGTTTTTTCAGTTTTCAATTCTGTCGCCGATTCCTAATTGTTCGAAATGTCTTTTAATTCAAAGTCAATTTCGTCTATAGTGTCTATATAGCATTATAAGGCAGCTTCCTACATCAGTTATAACAAGCGCATCGCAATGCTTTCATCAGATTAGCAAGCATTTATGGAATCTGCACCTGCATACCAAAACGCACTTGACCACAGCAACTTTAATCATGATCTTAACTACACTCGACACGCACCTCAGCAAGCACGCAGAAATAGGCAACGTAATATTATCATTTGGTTCAACCCACCATTTAGCACGAATGTCAGCACTAATATATAGGGCGTAATTTTCTTAACCTTGTCGACAACACAGGGCAAGGGCACTGGGCAAGGGCACTGTCAATTGCAGTTGTTCGAAAAACGCAATATGCCCACTTCAGAAACAATGCATGACTAAGGACATAGTATACAAAGCAACAGTCACAACAAGCAACCCTAACACGATCATGAATTATATTGGCATGACATCAACTACATTTAAAGAGCGTTTGGCTAACCATAACTATATTTTCGAGCATAAAGAGCACTCAAACAAAACTGAACTTTCGAAATATATTTGGACATTGAAAGATAGCAAGAAAGATTTTAATATCAATTCGCAAATTTTGAAAGGCGCTATTTCGTATACGGGAGGATCAAAACGATGTAATTTATGTTTAGAGGAAAAATTTTGTATTTTGAAAGAAAACCAAAACCGTTTACTCAATAAAAGAATGGAAATTATATCTACGTGCAGACATAGGAAGAAATTTCGCGTAAACAACGCAAACAATACACTCCCACAATTCGATTAGGTATTTCTGCGTAAACAACGCAAACAATAGATGAATGCATGCTTTGTTTCACCCACACACCCCCACGTTCTGGCCAAAACACATATAAGCAGCCCTATTTTTCGAAACTTGTCATACCGCCTGATGATTCTTTACTGATGAAACAGACTGTTGCGGAATTTTGAGGTAAACGAAATTATATATATATATATATATATATATATATATATATATATATATATATATATATATATATATATATATATATATATATATATATATATATATATAAGGGGAGCAAAGGCGCCGACGTAATAAAGAAGGTAGTTTTAAATATTGATGTATTCTTGAGATTCATATGGCGTCACAAAAGTGACGGGGGGGGGGTCAGGGAGTTGTTTCTTTTTTGAATTAGCCTTGTGGTATATGACTTGGTGGCAAATACATGGAATTTCGTATTATGTTCTCATTAAAAGTAGAGTATAAACATCAATACATTTGAGGTTGACCACTCGTCACATTCACTGCATAATACCATGGTGAAACCCAAAAATTGGAGCAACTCAAACCGTTAAACCGATGTCATTTAAAAATCGTACAATTCTCTTCATATCGCCTGAAATAAAAGATCAAATGAGAATCAGAGATGATCAACTACGGAAATTACCGAGACGGGAAAATTGTTTGTCGAAAATAAAATTATGCAAAATAGGAACAATTAATAGTCACGTTATTTGGAAAACTATACTTCAAATAAATCATCTCCCTTGCGAACATAACTATATTATATTGCTATTTTAAAACTATTCTTTTACTATCACGCCTATTGTTATGCTATTTTATGGAGAGGCAACCTTATTTTTAATTCTATCATAATATTTTACTAAAACAGAGAGCCATATTGTATTAATGCATTACTTTTATAGATAATATAAATAAAATCACATACCCTACTTGTATTAAAATTCGCGCTACTCATTTTCACTCAGCTTTAAAATACGCGCGATTAAAATTTCGCGCACCTTGTTGAGACTTATTCGCGCAGCTTTAAATTCGCGTAAGTGATTTTCCGAGTTCGTTTTTTTTTTGTTTGTTTACTGTAATAGAACTATTAAAAATTAACGCATTTATAATGATTATTTTTTATCAACAAATACTTCAATGTTCACAAAACTTAATCAAAAAGCGATTAGGTGGCCTCAAAAATGGCTTCAAAATTATGTAATGTAAGCGAAATTCATGATAACAATGCCATGACAACAAGAACTAAACATTTTTCTAATACAATAACATAATGCAAATAGTAATGCAAATCAATTAATAAATCAACTGATTTACTTTACTTCAACATATTACACCACAAAGCTTTTCCCGTGGATTATATTTCGCGCAATACTAAAATTCGCTCCTAGTACTGCGCGAATTTTAATACAAGCAGGGTATTTTAATTCTATTTTCCAAAGAATGAGGGAAAAAATAGGTTTAATTAAAATAGCTGTTTAAATTCTATTTTACTTCACTAAAAAGCAGTTAGAAATTAAAATACGAATAAAATATACTATTTCTAATAAATCCTAAGATTACAGCTATTTCCAAGCAAATTCGCATCAGAAAATGTCGAAAATCCTATCCTGGGAAATGGAAAACCTGAAATATTTCTGAGGGATAACCTCAAGCCTCCTGTTGAAGTTCCTTCTACTTCCAATAAATTTAGATATACTTCACTATCCGGCTTCCCCGAAACACACCGTCATTCAGGATAAATTATTTTAATATCATTTTTAAACTAAGTATAGTAAAATTCATCAACTTTAGTGCAAGGAATTTCTGTCAAAAATTAGGAAATTTTGAACAGTTGGAAAGGAAATTATTTTTGGGGGAGTGGAAGCACTGATCACACCGCCATATTTCACGTTTTTAATTAATATTTCGAAGTATGTGTTATAATATTTCCCTCGATATTTCGAGCCGATGAAGCTTTTCTAAACAATTTAGATTGTACAATATACAAAGCTTAATTGTTTAGTTATATATTTAGGGGAATATGTTAGTTTAGCTATTTAGCTACTTAGCGGTGAATATTTTAATTATGTAGCGGTATATGTTCCAGAGTTTGTTTTTAAAATTTAACTGTACATATCAACAAACATTTAGACACTTTTTTAATTATACCCAAAGAACAGATTATATAATATAGTCATTGATTACAAAAGCATTGTTGTATATAATGAAATGATGAATAAAGTTGTAATTATAAAAAAAAAATTTAAAAAAAATATTATTATTATTATCATGAGTATATGCTAAAAGCACAAATTGATCATGTACAAGGAAGGCGAAAAACAAAGAAAACGCCTGGACAGACGGTCATATGAATTATGAACAAATATAAACGCATCGGAACAAATATACCTGCTCAAAGGGCAGAAAAACGCCAAACATTAAGAGCAAACACCGTAGGAGACGGGAAAATAAAAGAAATACTGTACAAGCAGCAATAAACACGCATGATTGCAAGCAAATATCAAAGAAAAACAAACGAAATTGGTAAGATAAAACGGCCGAAAGATCGTTGGCAAAACAAAACGCGAGCGAAATATAAGTACTGAAAGCAAAACAAAAGCCGAATCAAACCACGCTAAAATTGAACGCATAAAACAACGAGCCAAGCTAGCATAGGAATACGAAAGATAGCCAAGAACGACAACCAAACGAAACAGCTAACCATAGGCAATAGGAAAAGAGACCTAGACAGCCACGCCTAGCGTTGTTTTCGCTGGAATAAAACAAATTACACAACGACTAAAGAATAGCAATTACGAACTAGGGATCCAAGGATAGTGTGAAGTTTCAAATTGAGAAAAACACTCCAAGAACTATATAGGGTCGCCGACAACCTGCAATCGTGGACAAAACTGTTAATAAAACTAATTAATATCATAATGAAATTGCATTAACCAAATTGTATTCCACATTCTGCCCCCCTTTCCCCCATTCAATGTTGGATTCGCCATCCCCACACTATAGACCCATTACTGCAACATTGTTCCGGGGGGAGAGGGGGCCCATGTGGCGTGATGCGCATGTATTAACGAATATTGAACAAAAATGTACATAACTGCGAGTTTTATTAACAGGTTTTGTCCACGATTCAATCGTGGACAAAACTGTTAATAAAACTAATTAATATCATAATGAAATTGCATTAACCAAATTGTATTCCACATTCTGCCCCCCTTTCCCCCATTCAATGTTGGATTCGCCATCCCCACACTATAGACCCATTACTGCAACATTGTTCCGGGGGGAGAGGGGGCCCATGTGGCGTGATGCGCATGTATTAACGAATATTGAACAAAAATGTACATAACTGCGAGTTTTATTAACAGGTTTTGTCCACGATTGTGGAAACGCTGATGGTTTACACTACGGAATAAACAGTGACCAAAGGCATTTCATCCCATTATCTATTGTTTTTATTAATGCGTTCGGCACATGAGTAGCGTGACGTTTGAAAGAAGCCTAACACATCAAAAACGTCGTGCCTCGTGGAACTGATACAATTTATTTATTTATTTATTGTGATGCTACACGCGACAACTCGAAACTTAAATTGTTTTACCAACAACCAAATTTTGCATATTCTAAAACTACATTTGCTTTGGGAGCTGTCGCTAAAAGCATTCCCACGAGGCTACTGATATGCTAAACTTATTTAAAACTATGATTATTCCAATGATCCTTTTAGCGCCCATATTGCACATTTGACTATTGTCTCAGTGACAACTTTAATTGAAATACCTGTACAAGATTAAAGATATGTTATGAATAATAAGCACTACGACGTTGCATCATTAAAAGGACGTATTTTATCCCCATCCGTTCTGAATTTTATCCCCATATCCGTTCCATGGATCCTCTCCATCCGCTTCCGCATTTTAACCTAATTGTGACATGTTTCAACAATAACAAATCTCATTGACCTTCGACTTATGCACCTATCAATGTTAACCCTCAGAATACGGTGGCCCACAAGTGTCACGGCGAAAGTAAATAGCCACGGCAAAATTAAATTAACTCAAGGCAAAATTAACTCACGGCAAAATAATGTTAACTCACAGCAAAATAAAATTAACAAAATAGAATTAAGAGGCCTAAAACGAAATGGCCGGCACCGCGCTCGATTGTCTCGTTTCGCTTGTGAGTTATTTCTTCAGCAAATTATAAACTATCTGACTTTCCTTCCTAGTTCTTAATTATTTGTTTACAGTTTTAAGCTGATTTGTTTAGGTAGGTACATGACTTTTGTTATAGCTTATATAGTCAGAGAAGATTAATAGCTTAAGGGGGGAGTTAACCTAAAATCTTCAAAAAAAATCAATCTTTTTTACATATTTAATGACTTTGGGGCCTTAGCTAACATGTGCCCAAACCGTTTTTAAAAATTCAAAATCCTTCACCTAGTTTGGAGGGTTTTAATATGCATTATCTTATTTTTAACTGTTTTTGTTTGTGGAAACACCACGTAAATTTATTACTGCAAAGCTTTCGATCCGTAAGCCCGGATCTTCATCAGTGCTAATAATATCAAATAACAAAATGCTAATAATATAATAATAACAAAAACAATTATATTTTATCGCCATGCAAACATTCAAAGAACTTATTATCTTATTTTTGTTGCCCGTTTCCATGGCAACCAATATGGCATTTTTTGTTTGTTTGCCACTTTAAATTGATTGTTCGCTTGCCAGCGCTCCGAAAGCAAGTGATTTACATAGTACCCTTTGTCGTGTACTACATAAAGTATTGGTGCTGTTATAATTTTGTGATTGCTGGCGCTCATTGCCATGCCAAAATTGTGATGAAGATTTTCAATTGAAATACTATTTTCGAACTTGAAAAGAAGTCAACTTCTTCCAGGGGTTTCAGAATAAGCTGCCTGCTACTTGAACTTTTACCGCCGGCTACTTTTAATTTCGTCTGGTCACAGGAAAAATTTTATATACAAAGGTACAAGCGAACCAACACGATGTTTGTTATGTTCCAATTGGGGTTCAAGCAACCCCAATTGGGGTTCACTTATTTTGGAAGATCAAATCAATAAGATCGATAATACATAGTACCAAACATAACTTGCTTTCTTAAGTTGCTGTCGAAAAAGCGATAATATAAACATTCTTTGTTTTCTCGTCGCCATCTTGAATTTCGTAGCAAATGGTCAGTGGCTCTGAATCTTCCTGAACAGGAAGATGACTCTGATTGACTCTGACAGTGACATAAGCATTGGAGAATCCGAATTTGACAGTGAGCCGGAGAACGAGTCAGATTCAGAGCTACTTTGGGCCTAAAAAAATACCTGTGGTTCTGGTTTCATATATCGTGAAAAAATTAGGGTGGGTAGGTCGGAAATTTATTTTTTTCAAATATTTTTTTCATGGTTTTGGCAGTTTTTTGCTAGGCGACATCAATATTAACTAGTGATGCATACATGTTTCGCTCGCTACTCTGGTTTAAATAAATGATTACAAAGCCCAGTGGAATTGTAATCAAGACCCAACGCTTCGACACTCCAGTCTAGTGTCTTCATCAGGGGTGATCTAAAACTGCGATCGT